TATATATATCAATAACTATATTATAAAGTGAATTAAAAAATCTTTTCACAATAATGAAACTAAAATATCTGAAAACAACATTTACTCCTTGGATACTTGTAGTTCCTGGTCCAATCCCCCAGAGAGGCCGTGAGAGGTTTTGCAATGAGCTCATTGGCAGACATTGTGTATTGGGAAATTTCCAGCAAAATTCCAAGTAGGCACACTGCTTTTGCCAGAGGAGGGAAAATGTTCTTCTAACCTGTTAAAACTCTACTGTACATGTGCTGCAGTTAGGATAAAATGGTGAGGAGAGCAGTCAGTCTGGTTGGGCTATAAATTGAGACATTCTTCTAAGTATGTGCCAATGCTAACGAAACAAAGTCAGCTGCAAGTGAGAGAAGTGTCACAGCTCTCCTAAGAACAGCTGACAAAGGGCAAGCCTTGCTACTCACTGCCCATCCCAGATCTGGGCAGATGACCTCCCAGGGCAGGCAGGCACCCTCCCTCAGAGTCATGCTCCTGACACAGGCTTGGTAAGTGTCTCTCTCTGACAATTCTTTCCTCTAAAAATACATTCTCTCATAAACCTTTGCATTTATCCGTGATGCTGGCTAATGTAACGGACTCTTAACTCCTGGGTGAGGGAGTGCAACTAAGGCCACACGTCGTCTCTCTAGGGGAAACTTCTGTCGTGCACGGGGCACACAAATTATTACGTGCCACTAGTTTTGACTATGAACCTTGTTCCTACACTTCACATTGAGACAAGTCTATATTTTACAGGTGTGAAGGACAAGGGCGGAGGAGAAGGGTGTCTCTTCCCTTTAGTATATGTGCTGCTGAAGCAAGCACAAAGAACTGAGCTAAAGGACAGGCCCCCTCTTCCCTTTAGTTAAAGGGAAGGAGACAAAGTGGACCAGCTGGGGCCCAGGCAGCCCAGGCAGTCAGGCTCGCGTGCATACATTCTCCTATGGGCAAGGACACACAGGGGGCAGTATTACAACCAGAGTATCACCCACCCCACCCATGTTCACTGATCACCTGCCGTGGGGGCAGTGGATGGTCAGTCTAGGAGCTGATCCTTGCTCTCTTGCCAGTTGATTGGGAATAGAATTGCATTAATAACCAGGACATTTTCAGATGTTTCTTGATGCTTGAGGAACTATATCAGTTGGATAGAAAAGAAGATAAAAAGAAACACTTCGAAGCAGTAGTCCAGAAAGCACTTCTCAGGGAATTATTTTGCACGCTGAGACCTGCTTGAGGCAAGAGAGCAGCAGGAAAACACAAAGTACCAGAGCGAGGAAACAGCAGAGCCAGGCCCTGAAGAGCTGTGGGCTCAGCATCTCATTCCCTACAAAAGGCTCACTGCCTGCCACAACACAGAACAGGTGCTGAGAGCCACCACTGAATGCATAATTAGGGAATGGAAGACTTGTGCTCTTTGCCTTCCTGGGCCTGAGTCCTGGATGACTTTGGTTCTCATTTACCCCATGCACCCTCCCACTCATCCTCTACCAGCTGCATTAGCCTCCTTACTGTTCCTGGAGCTTTTTAGGCATACCCCTGCTCCTAAGCCTAGGTTCAGTATGCCCTTCCCCAGGAATACCCTTTCCCAGGTGTGCTCTTTCCACAGGTGTACCTCCATGGGTGCCTCTCCTTGGTGAGGTGGACCCTTCCCCAGGTGTGCTCTTCCCACGGGTGTACCCACTTCTATTCGTGCCCCTCCTCAGGTATACCCTTCCCTAGGGGGCACTTGTCTCCCTTGCCTTTTTTTACAACTCTGCTGAGCTACCATTGTGTCATAAAAACTTTCTTCATTGCCCTATTTAAGACACAATCTCTCTCATCTATCCTATTTTAATTTTCTCTACCTTATGCATCCATGATTTCCATGTTTATTTTGCTGCATTGTCCATACCCAGTCATGTTAATTCCAGATATTTCTTAAGTATTTGGGATCAGATCAGGATCTTTGCATAAGCCACATTCCCTTTGCCCTTTTCACATACTTTGTTTTGAGACAAGAGTCAAATTTGCCCAGGGTAGACTCTAACTTGTGACCCACCTGCCTAAGCCTTCTATTGGTGTGTTTTAAAACCCACATTCTTTGCTATATCCCCAAGGCTAGGCTGGTGTCTGGCACATCACAGGCAGTCATTACACTTTATCAAGAGTGATGGGTGTTGTAGTGGTTGATACATGTGTCAGCTTGGAAAGTCAAACCCTTGACTGGATCTGATTCCATGGCCTGGGGTGTGCCCCCACCTCTGGGGCAGGGAGGGTGTGCCATAAAGTGACTCAGCAGAAAGAGAATATATAAGGGAATTGAGGAAGGAGTCGGTGGGTGTTCTACTTCCTCAGAGGAACTTCAGCCTTCGCAGTCAGCTTGGACGTGGTCTCTTGGCTTGCAATCCAGGCCGCCTTGGGTCCTTCAGCTTTCGGGCGCAGACTCCAGCCTTCCATCGCAGACCCATCTGCCAATTGATACAGACTTGCACAGACACTGCAGTGAGCTCTACACCTTGGACTGAATCCTTAAGTCTCACGTGTGCAGATGCCCTCTGCATGCGTCTTTGTCTAACTCTGCAGCTGACTGTGGTAAGCCAATCTTGTAATTTCTTATGCATTTGTACATCTTGTGTTATATCTATTCCTTGTATTATATCCGTTCCTCTAGTAAAACCCTGACTGACACAGGTGTGAACAGGCATGTGATGAACTTCCGGGGCACAGGGATCGCCTCTGTTTCACAGTGAGTACTTGTTTCAATGTTGCATGAACATGGTAGCCCATCTCTCACAGCCTGAAGACACAATAATGGTGGTTTCTCCCCAGTGCATATATTAGGAAAATTCCCTGGACAAACTGCAAGGCTCTGTGCATCATAAACAAGTTTTCATTGAAGGGCACCTTTTATTGGGATTTATACAATCTGAGCAGTAATGCAGTTCACAAATCCATAGTACCAATTCCATAGGGAATCTACAAATTCTGGAAACCAGGAGGCAATCCCATCCCCAACACAGGAAGTTGGGAGCTATGATCAAACTTCCTTTTTTCATCCTGTTACAGTTTATGTCTGGATGCACCCCCCCCCAGCCTTATGTAATCATGAGGGGCGGGGGTTGAAGACATCTGAATCTGGAGTTTGTAATTAGTACATTGTCTGGTGCTGAGATTGAGAGTGTGAATGCTACACCCACCCTACGATGGATAGCCTGTGTACAACGTAAGGGAGGAAAAGAGGCTCCTCCCTTTTGTTCTTGCTGCTTTGCTGTCTTCCACAGACTTGAACAGTTGCCCCTCTGCCATGCCACCTGCCTTGGAGCCAGCTTATTATGGGCTGAAATCTTTACAAACTGTGAGATAAATAAACCTCTCCTCTTTTAACTTTGGATGTCAGGTATTTTGTCTCAGAAGTGAGAAAAAAAGTAACGAAGACATATCCTGTTGAGTCATGCCTACTGCATATTGTATGCTAGTATTATAACTATCAGGTAAGTCACTAGATACTCATTTCTGGGGCCTACAGTAGAAAAGGAATCATAAAACCAATCATCTTACAAATATAAGTCACTGAACACATGGTCCAGTCCTTCATGGTCAGATCTCCTTTTAGTTCCTTTTGCTCTCCAGTGAGTTTCCTTTGGCCCTGAAAAGGGAAGAACTCAGCAAAGCTGTCTTTGCAGACAAATATTTTATTTACTTACTGTTCATTGTTGTAATTTAATTCCTTGAAATTGTCAGACATATTTTTCATTTCTTTGCTATTTTGAGTTTTTGGAAGGTATCTGGTATGGCTTGGGTGCCTATCTCCTAAAGTCTGTGTGTTAAAGGTTTGGTTCCCAGGAGGTACTAGTAAGAGGTACTGTGGACCTTTACGAGGTAGGGCCTTGTGGGAGGCCATTAGGTCATTAGGGGTGTCCTGGAGGGAACTATGGGACCCTGGTCTCTCAGAGTCTGCTTTGTGATACAGTAAGTCATTTGCTATGCCACGCATTCCTGCTGTGATGTGCCACCTTCACCAGAGGCTCAAAGAAATGGGACTGCCTGATCTTGGGCAAAAACCTCCAGAACTATGAACTACATAAGCCTTCTCTGTTTGTAGTTAATTCTGTCTGATATTTAATTATGGTCATATAAACCAACTGATATACTGGTTGTAACTTTATATTCCAAACCTTTCATTAAATTTCATTTTTCAATTATCTAGTGAAATTCCTAGAATCTTTCTTGCTCTAAAATTATTTATTGAGAAAGTAGTTAAGTGAAATGTCACAGGTCTAAATTTGAATTGAAAGTTTCAGTCTTAACTTTTGGTAAATTCTGTCTTAACAGTGTTCCCTCTGAACTCCTATGCATACTGCATAGGTAACTAATTCTGTAACTGGAAGATAGCAGGCATGGATGAAATTAATTCCTAATCTGAGTGAGATATACAAAATAAACCTGCTCCTTCCTCTCACATCAGAAAGCAAGGAACTTTACTAAAGGATATAACTGCACCAGAAGCCTCATTGGAAAGGCTCCTCTGGCCAAAGATGGGACCACTGAATGATAAAAGAAAGAAAGAAAATTAACTGTAACTAATTGAAGACATAAAATATATAAAATTTCTTGAGTTTCTAATATTGTTAGAATTGTGTCACTACAATTAAGTATCTGAGGCAATTAACATATAAAGAGAAAAGATTTATTTAACTCACAATTTGAATGTTCAAATTGGACAGGGAAGGGGTTTTGGTTTGGTCTCTACTGAGGATTGCAGTTCATAGCAAGAGTGCCAGACAGAGACAGAGACAGAATCAGAGACAGACAGAGACATAGAGGCAGACAGATTACAGAGATTTCCCCCCTATGACCTAAATACTCTGCCTAGACTCCCCCTATTGAAGTCCCGGAGCACCTCTCAATAGCACATCTGTGGGAACTAACATGTGGACCTTTGAGAACACTACCATCTAAGGTCATACCACCCTGAACATGCCCGATCTCGTCTGATCTTGGAAGCTAAGCAGGGTCGGGCCTGGTTAGTACTTAGATGGGAGAAACACTACCAGTATACCATCTGTAATAACAAGAGTGTTGAAAAAGCACCAACAGTCTTTACAATATGCTATTGAAAACTGGACCATGGATCTAGGCAACCAGCACCAGTGGCCACTAAGTTCAAGAAAAAAGCAATTGAAGTCACGTGCTCCTCCTAAGACGTATACACACACACACACACACACACACACACACTGAATCTTCCCATGCCTCTAGCTTGAGCTATCAATTCACAGAAGCAGAGAAAGGTCCATAACTAAATGACAACAAAGTGATATAGAAAACTAGACAGTTTTCTAACTCATAATTTGCAAAACTCATAATTTGCAAAGTGGTGAGATGTGTCATGCATATGTGTGTGTATGTATATATGAAAAAGATAGCTAAAAAGGACATATAGTTATAGCAACAAACTACAGAATGCAGACATGATTGAGACTTACAAAGTGTACTATGTGTAATGGGGAAATCTTGACACATACTGACGTTTGAAGATATTTAAGTCTTATAAATATTCAAGTGTAGGGCCAGTCAGATAGTTCAGCAGATTAAACACCTGCTTAGGCAGATGCAGGGACCTGGGTTCAATCCCCAGCATGCCTTGCAGCCCCACCCCTGGGGCACCCTGAGGTGGTGACTGAGACTGAACATGGTGGTGTGTGCCTATAATCCCAGTGCTTGGGAGGCTGAAAGCAGCAGGATCACTAATGAGTCCGATCTGTGTAGTGAGATCCTGAAAATATATATATATATATATTCCTTCAGAGATACATGTCAAACTGTTACGCATGGAATGACATGATGTCTGGGTTTTGCTTGAAGGTAACCTAATAAAAATGAGTTCCATGGCTTAGAATGAATTTCTGTAGTGGCATCAAAGATGTCAGGTAACTTTGATTTAAAAATGGTGAGTTCTGGACAATTTTGCTACATGACTTTAAAAAAATAGGTATTTTGATAAAACTGTTTTAAGTAGAAACACGAGTTATATTCCTCATCTGCTGACTTCTAAGCACATCTGTGAGAGTTTAAAGTGAGAAGCGGTACTACAGTACAGTAACACATTTCCAGTTTTATAAAATAAGCAATAATAACATCAGCTGTCTCCGGGAGATCCACAGTGGGTGGGTAGGTTATTAAACTTTTTCTCCATATTTGGATTGTGTCACATTTTATACTGAGCACATATTAATTTTATAATTAACACTTAATCTTTTAATATTTTATATGCAAATATTCTGTTAGTTTCCCATTTCTGTAGTGAATACCTGATATAATAATCTTTATAAGAGAAAAGGTTAAATCTTGTGACTTATAGTGTTGGAATTTTTGGTCCATGATCAATTGTCCCTGTGGCAGCAAATTATGGCAGAGCAAAACCATTCACCAGGTAGCCAGAAAGCTAAGGAGAGTAAAAAGAAAAGGCTGGGGTTCTACAGTACCCTTAAATGTCCTGAAGACCTCCTGGTAGGACCCACCTCTTAAAGATTTCATCATGTCCCAAAAGCACCAAGCTGGGGACCATGCCTTTCATACATGGGACTTTGAGGAGCACTGCAGATCCAAACTATAGCACAGAGCTTGAGAACATTTTCATTATCAAAGAAGTTTCTTGGCATTGCTTTCCTGCAGCTATTGCTGACCTTTCTCACCACAGATTGGCTTTATCTTATCTCCAACATCCTAAAATGGAGAAATACAGCATTTACTCTCTGTACCAGGCCTTTTACACTTAACATGACATTCTGGCATGGTGATAAGTTATAATCAGCTGTATAAATACACCACAGTTGTGGATCCATTTTCCTCTTGATAGGTACTTAAGTTGTGTTCAGTTTTTGTTATGATGAATGAGGCTGATATGAACACTTTGTACTCTTTTGTGAATATTTGTCTTTATCTTGGACAAAGGACTTGTGTGGAGAATGCCTGGGTCATAAAGTACATAATTAATTTTTAACAATATAATTTAAAAAATAGAGCAAAGGCTACAAGAATTGTAAAGGATGTTCCTGGCTCAGACATAGGCAAACCTCACAAAGAATGATGCGTATAAAAATGGGTGCCCTTCTAGTCACCACTCTCAGACTCTTTAACCTGCTCACAACTCCTCAGAATGATCATCGCTTAGAATTCCCTTTCCCAAGCCACTCCCATTCAGGCTGTAGTTCATCTGCTACAGCATGACCACTCAAAACAACCACTATAATTTTTCTCAACCCATCATTTGCCTTGTCCGGATTAGATTCTGCTGTCTACTACTGTTCTTAGGTTTTTTCCAGAGATCCATCTAGGCAAATTGCCACCTTAAATAAGCCCAGGAATTTGTTTTCTTTTTTTCAATGCCTGCCCTGTGAGTTTTCTGATGATGTCAGGAAAGGCTCTCAAGACAGTGCAGACAGTTTCTATTGCAAATTTACAGCCACCCATCTCAATACTGCCAAATATCACTACTGAACATTGCCTAGGATCTTTGCTTGGTTGTCCTGTTCCCAAACTCCACATGACTACTTAGGTTTCTCGAATTTTCCCTCTTTCTTCTCTCTCACCTCAGTAGGCAGTCTTACCTCATTCCTTAGAGAGAAAAAGAAAACCATGGGATGAGATATACCATCTGGTACCAACAGGAAATAATATGTAAAGGAAACGCAGCATCATCCATCCATCCCTCCCTCCATCCATCCACACACCCACATGCCTATCCACCAATATAACCACCTATCCATCTATGTGAACATCCATACTTTCAACTATCTATACATCCATTCATCCAGGGGTGCACCATCCCCACTCTCCCATCTAATCTTTCTTCTCTCCATCTACCTACCTATCACTCATTCATCCATCTATCCCTTCATTTACACATTTCTCCATGTGTTCACTAACTTACATATACATCCACCCATCCATTTATGCATCCATATATCCATCCCTTCATATACCTATTTGATCCTTTCTTCTATCCATCTACCCATCAACTTATTCATCCATTCACCAACCCATCCATATTTCCTTCTATCTAGCCATCCAGCCATCCATCCACCATCCCCTTATCTACCCATCCAATCCTTCTTTATATCCTTCTTTCCATCCCTTCCTTCCTCTGCCTTTTTCCCTCTCTTGTTTCTAGTTATGATGTGATTGAAGACAATACCCTGAATCTGTTTTGGGATACCTTCCCATCCTACTTTTTTGGAAACCACCAAGACTATGAATTCTTTCTTTGCTTGTACATTCAACTTTTCCTTCTAAGCTGAATCCTTCCCCATGGCTCCTTATCTCTTAAGTTTGTTTCATTAAAACCTTTTCTATTACCACCTTAGTTATCTCTCTATACCTTTCCCATTCTAAGAAAATACTTCAAGTGTGTTTAGCCCCTTCATGCTTGCTGTGCCCCATTAGACACAGGTCTCACTGAGTTCCAGATAACTTGTTGGAGCCAGACATAACACAAGTGCTTTCTTCTCCATCCTAGCCTCTCCACAACAGTCAATGCTGTCATCCTCCCAACGTGGTCATTCACCTGGCTTCTTGTAGCTCTGGTTCTTGCCCTTGATGGACTGTGTTTCTATTGCAGGTGGCTGACTGCAGTGGTCCTCATTTCTCAGGCTCCTTTACCTAGTGAGTGGCTTCTTTAGAAGGCACAGTGAATCACTTGTGATAGTGAGAGAAAAGTGAGCTTTAGTGAGAAGCTGGAGTATACCGCAGAAAGGTTAGGGCCCCTCTTTAATCCCTGCTTCCCCTGAAAACCTCTGGGTGGTCATCTTCTCTACTTTTTTCCTGTTGGGAGACTCCTACCTTAAAAGTCTGTAAACAGGAGCAGAGTACAGAAGGATGAGGAGTGGAATGATGAGCAACCATGCTCACGACTGACATGGAGACCACCAGCCCTGGCTACTGCAGAGAGGTCAAGATGGGAAAGAATGGGTATGTGTTAGCTCACACTAGGTCTTATTTTTCTCTTGTCCTTGAACCTTTGGGATGGTGTTGACTCCCTGCCATTACTAACCTAAATTGCCTAACCTTTTCTTGTTTACCCCGTTTGGCTCTTCCAACACTGTTGTAACTAGGGCCTCCTGTGAAATTCTGTCCATTGCACAACTAGAGGCGAGGTGTTTCCTGACTGGGCAGCACCAAGTTAATTTCTGGTTGCTTTGTTCACTCTCTGCTCATCCCATGACACTTGCTTCTCAGGAGTGTGACCTGGATGACCTGTGTCCATGACCTTTGTCCCTGATGTCCAGATTGGTTTGGCCATTAGAAAGTTCTGAAGAGAGACCAGGGAGGGAGGCGAGATGTGTTAGTAAGCTCTCCATACCTGAGATAATTAACTTCTAGAGAGTAAAGGTTTATTTGGGCTCCCAGTCATGGAAGTTTCAGTCCATGATCATTTGACCCTGTTTTTTTGGGTCTGTAATGAGGCGGCATGTGATAGTGGGAGCACATGGTGAAGCAAACTATTTACATCACTGTTAGGAAGCAAAGGGAAGCAGATGGGTTTGGGGTCCCATAATCTCCTTTGAGGACACATCTCAATAATGTAGGCACTTCCCATAAGGCCCCACTTCCCAAAGGTTGTACTACCTCTTAACAACATAAAGCTAGGGACTAATGCTTTAACAGTAGGCATCAGGGACATTCAACATCCAAACCATAGCCAGAGTAGAAGGAGATGGGATGTCTTCTGACCCCTCTTGTGGCTGCTGTGCCCCTTGAATCCTATTCAGTCTTCTCTGGATTCTTCCAAATGATCCATGCTACATAAGGTCTCATGACTCTACTGTCATTGGCCGTAGGCTGGGACTACATCCTATGTCCCAGTCTCATTCTACTCTCTTATCTCCTATTTACCAGGTTTCCTGCCTCTTATTCAGTTGCTACTGCTGCTCCTGTAGCCAATAGCCCCTTCCCAAACATTAGGGAACTTCTCAACAAGGTCCAATGACTCCTTGATGGTTTTTGAGGCCAGCTGGCCTTTCTTGATGAAAATAAGGTGATGGCTGGTGGAAATTGACTTTTATCATTTTTTATAATTAATACACATAAAATAGATCACATTAACTGTGTTAAGTGTTCAGTTGTGTGGCATTATTGTACAGCCATTACCACCATTCATCTCCAGAACTTTTCTTCTTTCTGAACTGAAACTCGGTCTCCATTGATACCAGTCCTCACTTCCTTTTCCTGGTCCCCTAGTATCCACTACTCTACTTTCTGTCTCTATGAATTTGACTACTCTAGAATCTTTATATATGAGTATTCATAATTTTTGCCTTTTAATGACAGTCTTGTTTTACATAATATGTTTCATTCAGTATAATATAATTTCACTTAATATGATTAATCTAAGGGTCATACAAAGCATAAGACAGGATTTCCCTTTTAAAGTTAAATAATATCCCATGAAACTGATTATCCTAAAGATGTTCTTACTTTGCAAAATAAAAAAAGTAGAGCCTAATATCAGTTACTAAAATGATTTTGAAGTTGTCCTGGCCCTGAAATTGTAAGATCTTGTCACCACTGGACCATAGTGTAAGTGCATTTTCACTTCTCCAGCTCTTCTCAGTCTCCACCTTGCAATGTGTGACTTGTGCTCCTCATTGTTCCTCAGAAGCAACTCACGTCTCCATCTCTATTCACCCAAGCATCTATTTTTACTGTTGTTTCTATCTGGAATGTCTGATCTTTACCTAATTTTATCAATCTCAATCCTGATAGGCCTTATCTCCCCAGGGAGGCCCAGGGCTCCAAAGCCCCCTTGTTTATTTATTGTGGTACTGGGTATTGAACTCAAGGCCCCTACACTGAACTACAACTGTAGCCCTTTTCATATTTTTATTTGGAGACAGGGTCTCTCTAAATCTCTAAGTTGTCTGGGCTAGACTTGAACTTATGATCTTCCTGCTTCCGCCTCCCAGAGTGCTGACATTATAGGCATGTGCCGCCATACCCTGCTCCAGGGCCTCTTTCTCAATAGCTCCCCTCTCTGAGTTTTGATGTCTGCTGTGTCTGCACTTTCATTTTCCTTTCTAGGACATAAATACCTATTTATTTCTGAGGATGAGTGGTATACACATCCAAAACAACAACCCAGAAGATAAGGACATCAAGCTTCCCCGGAGACTGAGAATCCTGGCATAAGAATAGCTATAAAGTTTGAGATCATAACTTGAGAAATACTATTATACATGTACTTCCAAGTCTCTGCACAGGTTCTAGCTCAAGGCAGAGAGCTACACTGAGGCTGACTCCTATCTTTAGTTCTATTTTTCTTATATACAAAGTCACATATTGGGCCCTTTAGAAGGTAAACACAGAGAAAAACTATCCTAAATTCTAGGTTCTCAGTGGAGAGAAGGTCTAAGAAGTGGGGTATAGGTGAAGTGGATTCACGTGTGGATTCGCAAGGTGGATAGAAACATCTGAACAGGGACTCTCAGCAGCTGAGCAAAGGGCAAACGTCCCAAATTAAGAAACAAGTTTTAGTTCCTTGACCTGGCTTCTTTGATTTCCCAAAGGCCATAGACCTGTCTAAGTTAATGTTTCTTTTGCAGCATACACAAGGCACCCAGTTACTGAATTCCCAAAGAACATGCTGAATCATTGTTATATAACAGAAAGGGAATCCATCTTAGTAGCTGTCTGCTCACCATCCATACAGCCCTGAGCCATGCTC